GTTTAATTGTTCACCACAAGACTAGTAATGTGCACTAAAAAGTAAGTAGGGTCATTTTTGATTTCATGACGACTAATCATTTTCAATACCATTGGCAAAACTAACACATACTGTATACTGCCATATAGATATTTATTTATTTTTTATTTTTTTTGTCCATCCATTTTTTTCAAGGCAATCATTATTTCAAGCTTTGAAACTGGTTTAAACCAAGTCTTCTAAAAAGACACATGCGCTTTATATGATGAACAGATTGTAATATAGGCTTTTATTTAAATATTGATCAATTACCATTACAAAAATATCCATCTTAAACATTTGCTCATTCTGTGTATTTGTGTCTTTAAAATAGGGTAACTTTGTTGCAAAAGCACAAGGAAGCTTGATTTCAAATTTGATTTCAAACTGAATTTAATTTGCAAAAAAAGACAAGTAAACAGTCAGTAATAAAATTATAAAACAAATTACCTCAATTCAGTTGAGGTATTCGAAATATGACAACACTTAATTTTCATAAGCAGATTTTACAGCCATATACAGTATGTTAGGCCTATTTATTTAGATAAATGGAACATCAGATGGCTGTGACCTGTGATGACTGTACAATGTAGTGATGCAGTTAGGCAGATTAGGATATTTATATGTACAAATCAGACAAATATCCCATTCCAAAACATTTCTAGCATAAACTTACATTGTAAAGAAATTAAAGTTCCATCTTTGATTGGTAAAAGACTTTCTGGTGTATTTCACTTACAGCCAATAAAATTTCTTGTAGCATTTTCATCGGTCAGGCGTGGATCTATTCTATAACTTTTGACAGTTAAACTTTTAAGATAAATAATTTCTACTTTAAAAGCACGGATGCGTGTCAAACTCACTGTCGGAGAAGAGAGAGAGACGCAGCTTGTATCGGTGTATTCGGTATACTGTGGAAAATGAGTAACGGAAAAGTGTCAGATATTTCAGTATCGGTATCAAAATTAAGATAGTTGTGATTACACTACCATGTAGTTTGTTTCTCCAAACTTAGTGTCCATAAATTACGCTGAGCTCCCTCACTGTCAGATCAGGGCTGCGTTCAGCTCTGACAAAAACGGTGCAAAACGTTTTTTAAACGGAAACGGTGGTGCGTTGAACACCCTGTTCTGATGACGCAAGAGTTGCAACTATGGCAGCTGAGAAGGCCAATCTTTGTGTTCTTTTTGAAGAATTTTCGGAGCCTGATGAAATCGGTATAAATACGTGTTTAATACTGCAAAATACGCTCGATGTTACAGTCACTGCCCTTGCCATCCAGATCGGATATCTTTATTGGCTACTGAAGTGCCGTCAAAGGTTTGAATATCAATTCAAATTGTGGGCGTACTCAGCAGTCTATGGTACTCACTCAGTAACGAACTATGATTTAAAAGTAACGAAGTAGATTATTTTGCTTAATTTGTAGGCTACTTAAGTACAAGTAAAAGTACAGTTTTAAAAAATACACTCAAAAAAGTACAAGTACCCGAAAAAACTACTTAATTACAGTAACGTGAGTAGTTGTAATTCGTTACCTCCACCACTGTTTATATGGTTAAGTAATGAGCTTATGCAACTTTACACATTTACAATTACTTACTATATTATTATTTACTATTACTCCACTAGATCTGAAATATTGTACATTTTAATCCCCTGGAATACACTACAAACATGATGATCTAGATTAAAACATGATGCATTGCTGTCTGTCATAATTAAATAATTTTGGAGAAAGTGGCTGTACGTGTGTGTTTTTTTGTTTTTGTTTAGTCTTCCTTTAACAGACATTAATATAAGACAATACTGCAAAAACAGTGTACTGTCAACCGGTTATATTCCTGTTATACATTTATTGTCCAACATTCCTAATTTTTCTGTCATTAATTTAATTTCATATGTTGGTATTGATTCAGTGTTAATAATGCTAACACTTGAACTTAAATCTTTTCACCTCAATCACTGCGGCTCCCGTAAGACCTCTCTTAATCTTTTCAACTGTTACATCTGTGGGGATCCCTGTTATTACTCCTTTCACCCATTTCTTTTCTTCTTGTACTGAACAAATCACACTTTGTCCCATGATCGATTTAACTCCTAGAGCCTTCTTTTGTTGCCTACTATCCTTACAATATATTATCAATCTACCATCCCTCAACTTCTTAACACTTTCAATCAGTCCTATCACTTCCTTAATTGTTTTAGATAATTTCAGCGGATTAATGATACTGAAAGATCCGGTTTCAAGTTTCATCACTACCTTATACTCTTCCTTCCTTCTTCTTGTCAGATGTGTTCCATTTTCACTGTCAGTTGCAGATGCGTTACTCCAGCTTTTCTTTCTTTTTCGATTTTCTACTATACTCCATTCATTATTTCCATTCCCGCCTTCATCCGCGTCAAACACTTCATCCTCCATTTCCGGATCACTTCCGGAATCTACGCCACTTCCTACCATGCACTCTCCAGTCACGGATCAGCTGTTGCCAAACCGCCCTAACCTCCCTTTGCAGTGTGCGATGTCCGTCAACGATCACCAGTCACTTCTTCTTCTTCTTCTTCTTCTTTTGGTTTTATGGCGGGTTGCGAACCAACTTCATAGGTGCATACCGCCACCTACTGTGATGGAGTGTGAAGAGAATGTACTCACCTAAATCTTAAATTCTGTTCATTATTCCACAATTCTTAAGAAATCTCATGACTGCACTTATTTGTTTTCCTGCATTTGGACCATCATTCAGGATACTACTTAATGAAAATTCTTTAACTCCTAAGGATTGTAATTCATCTTTAAGTCGATCCCTTTCTCTTTCATATGCTGTACATATCATCATAACGTGTTCCACTGATTCCTCTGTTAAACAAACATTACATAGACCAGTATTATGTTTCCCTATAATGTATAGTGTTTGGTTAAGATTTGAATGTCCTGTTCGTATATGTGTTAAAATGACTTGTTCCCTTCTATTTGTTTTACTGTCAAGCTGTTATATTCCTGTTATATATTTATTGTCCAACATTCTTAATTTTTGTGTCATTAATTTAATTTCATATGTTGGTATTAATTCAGTGTTAATAATGCTAACACTTGAACTTAAAATATTTTCAACCGAAACTGACATGGTTTCTAGAGAGAGCAAAAGGTTTTGTGAAAAAAAGGGAAGACTTTAAAATCAAATCTGTAAAATAAACTGTTAAAAGGATTTGATGATCACTAGTCTAGTGATTGTACGATATTGTTGTCATCGTTCAGGCTGTATTTCTTTTGGACTTTCTGCACGAGAGCGCCCTCCGGCTTCGAGTATGAATTAAACATACACTGCATGAGAGTGTTGAGCGCTCCAGATATTCGCTTCTCATTCTGGATACGAATAAAACGTCAGGTCATAGACTATCGATACGGTCTCTTTGAATTTAAATCTAGAAACCTCTACGTGAACACACCTGCCCTTATAAAGTGCGGGGGACGAAATTACATTTCTTTCAAATTAAATATTAAAAATGCAGCTAACGTTCTACACACAGCAATATAAACAAAGGTGTCTGTTCTCTTTCGTTCTTGCTGTTTGGGAAAAGTTTTTTTTGATCTAAGTCTTAATGTTATCTGACTAAAAAACTATTACTTTTAACTTTTTTTTTATTACAGTAGCTTATTTATTTTAAAAACGTAGATTGCCTTAAAGATAATTATCACAACCCTGATAAAACTCATATTTTTCTCATCCTCCGATTTATAGGCTACTTATCAATCCTGTTTTTATCATCATTATAATTAAAAAAATGAATAAATTCAGAACAGGATTATATAATATAATTATATTTTAAATAAGACAGAAATATTTTTTCTACAACAACAGTATAGTGTTTACAACAGCAAACCCACCATACACTGTAAACTCAATAATAATAATAGGCCTAATTTAATTCGTTTCTATTTTCAGAGTGATTAAGAGGTGCAGAGAACTATTTATTTCACTTTTAAACTTAAAATGGTCTTTTCTGTTCTGTTTCTTTTTCAAAACTGCGTCACGGCATTTGCTGCTATCAATACAGAAGCATCCGCTTCGATACATGTCTCAGCAAGGAGCACAGCCCGATTAAAAGCCGTACTCCATGTGCCCCTTTTATACTTTGAGCACCTGCCCCTCCAAAGGTCTCTGCACGGCCCTGCTCAAAAGCACGTGCAAATGATACGTTCAGTCATCTGTTATCGTGTTATAAGCGGAACCTGCGGGAATGAGTAGAATTGTTATTAATAGCCGCAATCAATCCCGCGCCGAAATTCAAGTTCTGCTCTGTGTTCTCTGCTAAAAACCCGACTGTGAATGATGCGAGCGGCATCACTATGTTGTCACTGAGAAGCTGCAGCCGTGGCAGGGATGATTTTTGGTGTGCCCCAGGGCCAGGGCAGAACAACAACGCGCTACTTGTTTCTTTCCCCCTCATTTTTTCCAATTTACGGAAATCCGTCGTAGCGACGGAGAACTTTAATCCCTGTAAGTATCAGCCAAGTGTGACTCTTTTTTTTTTTTTTACCTTTAACATATCCGAATCATGTCCATGATTTTTTTGTGTGTTCACATAGCTAATGCAACAAAAGTCACCAAGTGTCAAGCGTAGAAGGAGTGCCTACTGCCTAAATAGGACAGGATTGAAATCTGGCGTCACGCAGAAATCCAGCATTTGTGCTGCCAAACACGTCCGCGTGGACCTCGCAAGCGGATACGACACTAAACCGGTACAACTTCCCACGGCACTATGCCACTTTAATACCGATGCCGCCAGAGGACAAACCATTTTGGAATAGTAATATAACAGACTACCCTGTCTATTGGCTATTTAATATATTTATATTTTGTATTAATATTTAAGAACTAATAAAATACATTTCATTTTTATATTTTATAAGAATAAAATCCCAATGGATATTTTGGTTTGAAAACCATACATCTCATAGCACACTCAAACGCACGTCTTACCTTTCAGCCGCCTCGTCTTGGTCTGCAACATACTTTCGTTTTGCAGCTTCAAGCAACTAGCCCCCTTGTGCCGCAGGGAGTTTAAAATCCCCCTAAGATACCAGGCAGGAGAAAGTGACCAAGTGGGATGTCACATTGTTTATTCAGAGTAAACGACGTTATCATGTAAGCGTGGGCTTACCGTGCGAAGTGTAGCGCTGTTTTGAAACCAACATGGTTCTGCAGTTAAGAGACCAGTTTATGTGCAGTCGCTTATGGACTTGGAGAAAGTCCCCATCCTCTTTCATCTCTGCACTGTTTGCTTTAGGACATACTATAACCAATAAAACGGAGGGTGTTTCACCCAGCAAGCAATAGTCGTCATTTCAACGTCTCGGTTAAGTATAGTCCCGATATAGTCCGGCTATGTGTAACCCACTTCTAGCCCAAATAACCTTGAATTTGGTTCCATGTCGTTTTTTGACAAAATAACGTGAGATGTATGATATTCCATCATGTAAGCAAAGTAATAGCGTGCGCAGCTGCAAGTGACGTAACTGTGACGTCTACTCTGAATAGGGCTATAGCCAAGCCGTTAAAATTAGTCACGGGTTGCCTCGCCAGGTGGGCTAAAAGCAGACTACGCGTAGCCCGTCCAATTTAGAGCGAAATCGCGGCTACATATAGACCATGTCATAAAATGACACATATCTTTGTGGATATTATTGACACTGCGAACATGATGGGATATCAACCATCTCATGCGCTGCCTGGCCAAAAACTAGTGAATCAGGTTTGACTATAAGTGGGCTACAGATAGCCGCTCTGACTACGAGCTAAATCGTGGCTACGCACAGGCTAAGCACTGAACATGTCAAAGAAATTAAACCAAACACCTTGTAAACGCATGTACTTATGTTTTCTTGGGATGTTCATATACAAGAGTCCAACTGAAGCAAAGCAAATACAAATGATAATTACAAATTACAGTATAATTGAATATAATACAAGAACATTTCAATAATGTTACTTTCTGTAAAATTATTTTAAGTATCAGAAGTGGCACATTTAATCTCATAATTTATTTATATTGCATTAAAAAAAAACAAAAGCCATATCTTTTCAAGAACATCTAATGCATTACTTAAACTGTGCTGTATCATACATCAGCTGTGTAAGCAAGCAGATTCATCAATATTCATTTGTAACCAAGGCTTTAACAGAGTTAATCAGTCTTTGTGGAAGTTGATCCATTTAAAATCTGCAGAGATGCATGGACCATGCTATCTGCTATGTCATTCCTGAACTGGTGAATTTGATAGGTTCATGCCTGTACAAATAACATCACTACATAGATTACTTGTTTCTTTCAAGGTTTGTCAGGTTAGCTTGGCCCCACGCAATTTCAGGGGACCCTATGTCAGTTAAGCAAAGGACATTGATATGAATGGGAATGCAAAAGGATAGCTTTTTCCGAGTATTGTAGACCTCTTTGGTAAGCTTTCAATCATCCATTTATTAAACCACCTTACATCATGGAGGAAGGATCCTCCTTGCCTGCTAATTTATCTTCTTTACAAATTCATTTCCAAAATAAAAGGCAAAACTCAACACACATTAAAAATTGCACTACAAGCGAGTGTTATAACTATCAGAAAAAAAGGTGCAAAAATTGTACCATTAGGGGTACAACAGCTTGTTACTGGAGCAGTATTCTTAAAGGAACAACTTTATAACTTGTTTACCTCTAAAAGGTTGATAGCAGTACATTAAAGGTAGATATTACTACTCTAAGGTACTAATATGCACCTTTTAGGGGTAGATAAGAAAGATGTCTCATACCCTAATGATACAATTGTTGCATTTTTCATGGTTTTTAATGGGTGCAATATAG